CCTGGAGGGGGCGCTGGATAGGGTCCAAGAACGGACTGGAAGTGCAGAGGCGACACAGGAGGGGGCATCCCAGGACAGACAGGAGACAGACACACCGGAAAGCGACCCATCGGCGCGCTCTGTACTTTGATCGGCAGGCCCTGTCCGCGTCCCAAAGTTAAGAGCACCCCCTTCCGAGTCAGGCAGACCCGGGGTGGAATCCGGGCTCACCGACCCGCGTGACCTTGGGCAGGTGACTTCGCCTCCGCGGGCGCGCCTCAGTTTCCTGGTCTGAATGATGGGATGACAATAGCGCCTACCTGACAGGGCTGTCGCTGTCGTCGCGGCTGCGGGGCCCAGCCCGGCAGCTGCGGCTGCGGTGAGTAATCGCTGCTAAGAATAGTGAGCGCCCCAGCCCCGGGCACGGGCGCGGCCGCCGAGTCGAGGCGCCCCCGACCCCCGTGGCCCCCGCCCCGCCCCGACTCCCGCTGGCCCCTGCCCCACCCCCGCTCACCTGGGCCGCGGCGGCCCGGGGATGTGCTCGTAGCGGCTGCGAGCGCGGTGCACGAAGGTGCAGCAGAGGCCGAAGGCAAGCAGCACGGCGCTGCCGAGCAGCAGCAGCCCGGGGCTCATGGCTCCGGGCCAGGCCAGGCCGGGGTCTGCGCCGGGAGCCGAGGGGGCGGGAGGCCGCGATCTGACTCCGCTGTCAGCGCCGCGAGCCGCCTGGGCCCCAGGCCCCGCGCAGCCCAGCACCGCCCCCGCCAGCTCGGCTCCGCCCCCGCCAGCTCGACCCCTCCCCGGCCGCACGGTCCCCGCCAACCACGTGTCCGCCTCCGGCTCCTGCGCTCAGGATCCGCCCCCATTAGGCTCCGCCCCCGGACAAGCTCCGCCCCGTTCTCCACCTAGCCCCGCCCATGTTGGGTAGTATTGCCAATCATAACTTGGTTTCTGCCTCTGGCCCCGCCCCTCCCCGCCTCTCTGGCTCCAGCTCCGCCTCGATGCCGGCCCCGCCTAGAACGCGTTGTCGGGGCAACCCTGAATCTTCATCCCATGCTGCCTGCTGGCTCCACCCCTTTGGCGCCTCTAAATAACGGCGAATCCCCGCGCGCGGTCCTAGGCTCCTTCTTTTCTCCCATGCCAGCCATCAGATTCTCAGGTTCCGCCGCCTGTTCCCGGACCTCTCCCAGGAACCCTTGATCCCTACAGCTTTCCCAGTGGGATCCCACAGAGCTTCCCTTGCGGATCTGTCCACGCAGAGATGCCACAGGCTGGTGACGAGGACCTGCGGGACTCGGGAAGCACGGGCTTGAGGACGAAGGGTCGCTCTGGCATCACCGGAGCCTCCCAGACCCAGGTCTGGAGTGAGGCCGGTGGGGGTAAAAGCTGGGTAGTCAGGGCCGCCCCCAGGGAAAGCCACACGTGTGCCTGGGAGGTCAGGAAGTCACTGAGAAACAGCCAAGGCTCCTTTTCCTGTTGCGACCTGCCTCTACCCGGAATCACACAAGAAGCCAACTCTGGGAGTTCGGGTCCCCGACACCTGTCCCCAGAGAGCACCAGAGAGACAGCAGTGGATCCCTCCATGCAGGTCTTGCAGCCAGGCCTCTGTCCCGGCGCAGGCACCTGGACCGGCGGGGGACTCGGGTTTGCCACGGCGCCCCCGTGTGGCACAAGAGGCAGCGGCAGGCGCGCGCCTGAGACAGGCCGGTGAGGTCACAGGTCCCCAGGGCTTGGGGCAATGGAGAGGGAGGCTGAGGCGATAAGGAGGGGGGCGCCGACTTGCTGTATGACCTCAGCTGAGGTAGGGTGATCAGCTAGAGAAGAATGACGTGTCCACGGTACTACCCAGCTCCTGGGGCCGTGTGGAGCTCCTTTGTGTGGCTCTGTCTCTCTGGGCCACTGGGGGCAGCGCCAGGTCCTGAACAGCTCTGGGCACAGGCTGGGGCCCACAGAATGCAGGCACGGAGCAGCATCCGGGTAAGGTGGCCAGCGTGAGCCCGACCAGCCAGGGCACAGCAGAGAGGCCTGCGTTAATATTCGTGGGAGCATCAGGCGCCACTATGGCCCACCCCAGCATTTCTGTCTAGAGCCACCTCTGACCCCGACTGGGGGCAGCTCTGCTGCCTCATCCACTCTGTCCCATGGCCCTCTCATTTGATGCTCCCAAGTGAGGTGCAATCAATTGGGGGACACAGGCTGCGCATGAGGAGCTGGTCCTGGGGCTGAGGGCCCTTTTCCACTGCCAGCCGCCAGCAGAGGGCGCTGCCCAGAGGCACCTGGCCAACCACGTGCCCTGCGGTCCACCATAACAGCCGCTGGCCACCTGTGGCCCCTGAGCGCTTGAAAGACTGTCAACCCAAGTTGGGATGTTGTCTGTCCATAAAATACCAGATTTCATATATGTAATACCTAGAAAACTAAAACAGCACTGATTTTAAATATTGCTTAAATTTTAATATGTTGGGTTAAATATAGTTAAAATCACTCCCACTAGTGTCTTTTTACTTTTTTTTTTTTTTTTTTTGTCTTTTTCCTTTTTATCGGTACCGGGGATCGAACTCACGACTGCCTGCTTTACAAGGCAGGCGCTTATGCCGCTGAGCTAAATCCCCAGCCGTCTTTTTACTTTTAACATGGCTCCTGGAAACATCTTCATTGCTCCAGTGGCAAACGTTATGCCCCGATGGGCCAGCACTGATACGGATGGCAGCTCCTGAGTCTGCCCCTCTAGCCAAAAGCATCAGCAGGGTCAGGAGGCACAGCAGAGGTGGCTGCAGTCTCTCAGGGGCCTGGCAGGATGGCGGGGGAGCCCAGTGCAGGAGGAGGACCAGGCACTGCGGGATGTGCCTCTGACACCTCCAGGTGTCAGGGCAGCAGGACACTGGTGTTGGGGCGCTTGTGGTATGCAGTCGGTGCCCAATAAAAGCTGGTAACCCTGTGGCACACCTGTCCCCACTCTGCCCTGCACAGCTGGCAGCTGCCACTGTGGCTACCTCCAGCCTCATGCTCTGCTTTCTGTCCAGCAAGCACCTGAAACATGCCAAGCACTTTTGCCGTGCTTGGTCATTTTTTTGTCCGGCAACCCCACTGGTTCCACTGTGGGGGAAGTGACCGCCCCAAGGTCACATGGCCAGGACTGATACCTGGGCTCTAGCTTCCTTGAACCTTCAGCCAAACCTCACAGCCACGTCTCTGCAAGGACAGGGTCCCTTGGACAGCTGGAGGATGCCCACTGCTCGTGGCTATCAGGGCTGCCAGGACAGAGGGAATTTCCTGTTGTCAGAGGAGAGGGGTGGTCACCCTGGCTGTGACCCAGCTGGGAGCCTGGGGAACAAACAAGATGAAGGTTCAAGCGAGGCTTCCTGGGGGACCCCACATGTTTCTGCAGCTGGAGCCAGGATGAGCCCTGCACGTTGGATCCCTGCAGCAGTGGGGGCAGAGGACCGTAGCAAGTTGTGGCCCTATGAGGACCCCTTCCCTCCCCAGTGCTGCTGGGTGGCAAACCTTAAGTGAGGGGCAGGGTCTCCATGCATGCACCCTGGCTGAGCCTGTGTGCCCATTTGCACACCCACGGGCTCCTCCTGGGGACTTGGAACTCAATGCCCTGGGGACAGCAGTTGTGGCTCCAGAGTGGACTGCCCAGATGCAAACGTGAGTACTGGCTGTGTGACATCTGGCTCATGACAACTTCTCTAGGCCTCTGTTTCCACATTATAAAATGGAGGGGGCAGGACGTTGGAGGATGACTCTTCCTCACCTTCTGAGATGCCGGACCCCAGCCAAGCCTCTACAAGGTCTGAAAGACGTTCTGGAAATAGAGGAAAAGACGGACACGGCAGCACACACTCGATGGCTGAAGCAGGAAGATCACCAGCCTGAAGCCAGCCTGGGCTACATACTGTGGCCAGCCTTGTGTCACAGTGAAACACTGCCCCCAAAACCAAACAATACAGAACAAACAACAGAGGGGAAGCGTCCTGCTTGGAAGGCGCACTGACCAGAGGGCAGAGGGCTGTCCGTGTGGGCCAGAGCTCTCCATAGACAGCAGCTGGGGTTGGTGAGCGTGGTCACTGTGCTGCCCTGGCCCTGCAGGACCAGCCACCTGTTCTGTGGTAGTGACAGTCACCTGCCAAGGGCCCTGCTAGTTCCAGCACTGTCCATGGTGTTCCTGCCCACCCCCCGAAGATGCCACACAGCCATCCTCAGGCAGCTGGAGGCCTTGAGGAGGCCTCCGGGTCAGCATCTGCTTCCCTCAGGGCAGGCAGCGGCGCTGGGCTGGGCCCTGGGCTGGTGGCCACGCCTTCCTGGGGGCAGCAGCACTGCAGTTAGCAAGAAGCCAGTTCTAGGGCAGATACAGCTCCTGTTCAGGCTTGGGCTCTTCCCTCCTTGGCTGGGCATTTAACTTGTGTGTGCCTGTTTCCCCTGCTGTGACTCCTGAGGACTGAGTTGGCCCAAGCTGTTCGGTCCTTAGAACTGAGCCCCATACCCAGGCCACACTCAATAGCTACTGGTGACCTCCACGTGAAATGCTAAGAGACAGACAAGCCTCAGGGGCATGCAGAGCCAGGAGGGTGACAGGAGGTCCCCATGTAAAGGAAGACAGGCCCAGAAATGGAGAAGGAAAAAAGGTAAAGGAGTTCATCAGTGGACAACTGTGGCATGTGCATGGGACGCTTGACCCCTGCCCACAGCTTGCAGGGCACCACGTGCCAATGCCACTAACTTGGAAAACGACTTTGTCTCTTCTGGCCTCAAAGGGCCCTGCAGCAGCCAGTATGCTCAGGTAGGGGTTGGTCCATCATCCCCAAATCGCACCGTTCCCCCAGTCACCCCATAGCTCCCCTCCCCCCAGGCAATGCTCCCTGATGGGTGCTGCAGGAGGGTGCCTGGTCCCTGGGGCAGGGGGCACTGCTCAGCTGCCACCCCCCTCCTGCTAGCAGCCATGCGGCTTTCTCCCGTGCCCTGCTCTTTTCTCTGTCCTTTGACGTCTGTAACAACTGAGCCAACCATTGACAGCCAAAAGCTCCCTGGCCTCAAATTTTAGTCGAGGATGATGCCGGCACTTTCCCACACCAGGCCTGCAACAGGCTCACTGCTCTGTGGCCAGCTCAACCCAGAACTCCATGGAGGTAAAGCAGGTGACCGTCACCACCTGTGACATGGACCCGTCTGCTCATCCTACCCAGCCTCCACTGTCCTTAAGTCCCCCAAGGCCTGGCTAAGGACCTCATGAGTATGGAAACTTTTGCCAGGAAACAAAACTGAGCTGCAGGCCAGGTCACCTTGCATCCCAGCTCCCAGACTGGCAGGTGGGGGCAGATAAGACACTGGAGGGACTGGCAGACAGTCACGTTGTTGGCACAGTCTTGGGGACAGTGTCACAGTTCCACCGGTCCCAAAGTGTGGTGGCCCGTACGTGCGGCTGCAGGAATCAGAGAATCCCTGAGGTGCCAGAACAAGGCGCTAATGGAGGTGACAGTGGTGGCCCCAGTGGTGTCAACATGGCCTCAAGCCTGGCAAGCTGCTGGCAGAAGGGGCTTCTGTCCCAGGACGGCAGGCAACCGGCACCTGTCCCAGGGCTGCCACATGGGTTCGCATGATAGCAAAGCGAGGCTGGCAGGTGGCCTCGGAGACCTCCAGCTCCCAGCCAGCTGTCCGAGGATGGGCGCTGGCTCCCTCCTAGGCACACTGGCCTTCTGGTAGGCAGTCGCTGCCAAGGGCAACCTGGCCTCTCTTGCTTCAGGGGACGTCCTGCTGCGCCTGAGGGCAGCTGAGACTGTGTTTCCGCGTCACACTGCACAGCTGGCCGGCACCTCCCTGGCACCTTCCTCCTCTGTCCTGGGCACGGCAGGCCTAGCCTCTCCCCCGAGCTGCCACCTCTGTCTCTGTTCTTGATGTCAGGGGCCACATCTGCCCCGGAGTGTGGCCACCTGCTGTCCTTGCATCCCAGGGCCAGTGCTCCTGCTGCTTCTGGGACGCTGGGAGGGAAAAAGCAGCCACGCTGCCCCAGCCCAGGCGCTGGCGCGACGTCCACAGCAGGAACGCAGGGAGGGGCGCCCAGGACGCGCCCGCACCGCACGCCAGTACAGGACAGGCACGGCGGGCCACCAGGTCACCACTCGGGCCCGCCCACGCCAGCTCTGCATCGGCCTCAGCTCAGCGCCAGGCACACGGGGCAGAGGGACTGGAGCAGGGCTGCTCTCCGCACAGCGTGCTTCACCTACGAGTCTCAATCTCTCTTTTTTTTTTTTTTATAAGTCTGGGTCTTGATGACTGCACACGACGCCCGCGTCCTCCTCGTGCCCGCAGTTGTGTGTGCCCACGCCGGCGTGCGTGCACTGCAGCAGAGTGCGCTCGGGGCCTGCGCAGCGCACGTCGTCCAGCAGGATGGGCAGCGCACGGCCCTCGCCAAACTCAGCGCGCTTCACTGCGCGCACGACTTGGGCAAAGCCCAGCTGGCGACACACGACAGCAGCAGCCTTGGAGTCCCACCCGTCGTCGCACACGGTGCCCCAGCGCCCGCCTGCGAACACCTCTACGCGGCCGCGGCCAGGGCTCAGCCCGACGGGCCGCACCAGGCGCACGGCGCCGTCCGAGGGCACCGGGCCCGCCGTGCTCAGCCGTCCGCGCCGACGCCCGCTGCCCTTCCGGCCTCCTGGCCGCCGGGTGGGCCTCAAGTTGGGCCGGGTCGGCCGCCAGGTTGGCCGCGGGGTGGGCACAGGTGCAGGGGCCGTGGGGCGGCTGCGGCGAGGCGCCTTAGTGGGCTTGCGCGGCTTGGGGCGCGGGGTGCTCTCCGGGGTCCAGATGAACTCTGCGCAGAGGAAGTGCGAGTGGGCAAAGGAACTCCAGCTGCCCCGCAGGGCTCATCTTCCCATCCCTGTGCCCCCCAACCCTAGCCCGTGCAGGAGGGCGGACCCCAGGGAAAGATGTACTCCATCTTCCCCCCTCCTGGGGCCCTGAACACAGGGAGCCTCTTAGAGCTGCATAGGGCCCACACTGGTCCCCCTGGCCCCTTAGGGTGCCCACCTGGGGCTGGGTGCCAGGTGCTGCTTCAGTCATTTGGCAAACAGTCCTGGAAGCTGCTTAGGTGCTGAGTTTCCCCCCACCCCAGCCCTGGCTCCTGGGTCCCCAGCTGTGGAGGAGACAACCCCACTCTGTCCAGAAGGCTTCTAAGTGCAAAGGGCCCTCTCTCCAATCACTCGTTGGTTTGGGGGTGTGAGGCCACAGTGGACACAAAATGAGGCTCCAAGGTGGTCCTGGCCAGCAGCAGGGAGCCTGGACCTGTGGGGACTGCTGTGGGTGGGGGACTCACTCCTCCACTGCAAGATGCTGGCCCAGGCACTGGTCACAGTGGGCAGGCAGGGTGCTGCTCTCAGGGGTCAGGCTGTGCCCACAGTGATCAGAGCTGCTGGGGCAGAGGGGCAGGTGGGGCACCCTGTGTATCTCCACCTGGAGCCTGGGTGCGTTGGGTGATTCCCTGTGCCTGCAGGCCATGTGGACACATCTGGCCTGTGTCACCCATGGGGACGAGCCTCTGTACTTTGTCCGGCCACATCCATGTGTATGCTGAGCCAAGCCCTGGGCACTGCCCTTTGTAATGACCTCAGAAGAGGGCTGACCCCAGGCTAGTGGCTTCCTATGGAGGGGCCAGGGCCAGCAGCCCACATCCTCTTGAGTCCTACCCCACTTTGAAAGCCACAGGGGTGGGCCTGAGAAAAGCCTCTTGGAACAAGGCCAATTATAGGCCAAGGTGCAGGCACAAGGCCACATGGGGCTCCATTCTACCCACAAGGCCTTGCCTGTCCCCCTGCAGAGCCTGCAGGACTCCCCAACGTGCCCTAACCCAACCCCCATCTCTGCCGTGGGTGGCACCCACCGGACCCAGAACACTAAACCACTGCTCAGTCCGCCCCAGCCAGGACGGGGCGGGGCTGGGCTGGCTTCTCCCTGTGGCTCAGTTGCCAGCACAGAGTGGGTGACAGACACAAGTGCCAGGCACTGCTGAATGAGTGAATGGAGAAGCTGCCAAGCCCACAGCCAACCGCAGCCAGCGGCGCCCTGTGAAAGCCGCCCCCTCTCCCTTGCCTGTCTCTGCCTGGCATCCCTTGCTCAGGGCTGGGGCAGAGCTGGGCCCCTCTGCCCAGGTGCCTACCTCCACCAACCCCGTGACCTGCGGGCACACTGGGCCTGCGAAAATAGTTCCTGAGGCCCACACAGTAGCTCTTAAAATTGCAAACTAGCTGTCAGTATTTTCAAGCTGGAAGATTACACACAACCCAAGGAAGGGGCAACATACCCAGTGTGCGCAAAGCTTATGGTGGTGGTGGTGATGGGTGGGCGGGTAGGTGGAAATATGCATGGATGGGTGAGTGGCTGGCTGTCTCGCTGGGGTGAGTGAGTGGACGGACAGATGAATGATGGGTGGATGGAAGGAAGGGGAGGGGAGGGATGCACAGTGTCATGGTTTAGGTCTAGAATGGTCCCCAAGTCTCATGAATGCAGCCTTTGGAAGGTGAGTAGCTAACAGCCACCCTATACTCCTCCCCGAGGGTTCATCCACTGACAGTTCACAGCTGAAGTGCTGCTGGGAGGCAGGGTCTGGTGGCATGGGTGTCACCTGGGGTCTGCCTGGGAGCTCTGGCTGCAATGGCATGAGCAGCTGTCTCGCTCGTGCCTCCCACCATGGTATTTCCACCAGGAGCCAACCAGCCACGGACCCTGAACCACGAGCCAAATTCGCTAGCTCCTATGCTGAGCTGTGGATGTTGGGCTCTATCTCAGCAACAGGACCGCTACCAGCTACCGCACATGGACAAACGGGTGGGTAGCGGGATGGGTTCAGCGGCCCCAGGCCCCGCACTCAGTCTGTTTGCTCAGACACGAGTGCGCAGGGGCGCCTCCTGCCCAGGTCCAGGCTTGAGGCCATCCCTGTGCTTTGAGAGGCCACACAGACGTCCTCTCTCGGTCCCCACAGGAAGTCTGCGCACTCCTGTCTGGGTGTGGCTTTTCCTCCTCTTACTGCTGCCCTGCCCCTGGCAGCCACCGGCCCACAGCCTCAGACCTGGTGTGAGTCCTGGTCCGTCTAGCAAGGCTCATGGTACATGCATTTCTGTCCACCTTAGCTAAGTGTCAGATGTGTGGCAGGTATGGTTCTGGGCCCAGGAGCCAAGGAAGGGCCTGAGCCCAGCTGGAGAAGGAGGCTCCCCCAGACCCCCCCCCCACCATGGGCACTTACTCTCTTTTGGCACGAAGGGGATGAGTCGGCTTCTTACTTTCACAGGCGCAGGGTGGACCTGACACTTGCCAGGGGGTGCACGTCTGCCAAGGGTACAGAAGAGGTCATGAGTCCCCTGGGGGAGCCCACCCATGTCCCTGACACCCACCCTTCCCCTACAGCAGGTCAGAGGGGGAAGGGCTGGGGAGGAGTGGACCAGAACGGAGTGACAGGTGGCCCGGTGGCATCCTTGCTCAGCTGGGCCCAGGGGATCCTAACAATGAGCCCATCGGATCCTACACCAACCCCGTGCCCACTCGTGCTGCAGCATGGCCATGGGCTCCTGGGCACCCCTGGTACAGTCCACTCCTGGAAGCGCACAGATTCCTGCCCCTGCCCTGACCCCCATCCCCTGGCTTTGAGGAGGGCTTCTCTCTCCTGGGCGATGGACTATGGGAAAGGGCAACGCTGGCTAAAATAGAAAGCGGGCAGGCGAGACGGGAGCTCCGGCCAGGGCAGAGCTGGGGGCTGGGCTAGAGAGAACGGCCAGGGACAAGAGCGTAAGAAGGGCTGCCAGGGTGTGAACCGCCTCCTTCGACATCCTTGGGAGCGGGGGCGGCGGGCAGGACAAGGACGGGATTCCATTTTAATTAGATTTTGGCCATCAATCTGAGGCTCTCTGAATGGGACCGGCCTGTTCCCAGCCTGGCTCTCGGGGCCCAGCACTTCAATGGGGCCGCGAGCAGCCCTGTGACGCGGGGTGGCCTCCGGGCGGGCGGGAGGGGAGACAGAGGCTTTTTTTCCCAAAGGCAAAGAAATCCAGCTGGGCACACTGGCCTCTCAAAGCACGGGGATGGCCCCAAGCCTGGACCTGGGCAGGAGGCGCCCCGGGGTCTCCTCAGCCCCTCTGGACGGGCGGGGGCCGATGAGCTGAGCACTCAGCGATGCCTCCTCCAGGACACCTGGCAGGGACCGGGCGCCCTCCTTAGAGCAGCGCACTTTGAAAAGCAGAAAATGGAAAAAACCTCCGGTTCCCGGATGGGCAAGGCATTTCTGGCTCGGTGACTCAGCAGAAAGGCCCCTCGAGGGGAGGGGAAAGTTCACGCAAAGAAGGGGGGAAGGTAAGGGGGTGCGGCGCTTGCATGGGGTCCACACACGCGGACACTCGAGGCTGTCACCCATGGGGAGCGATGGTGGGGCCTCGGGGAGGCACAGGGAGGTGCTGACATTTTTCCTGATAAACAGGCTGCTCCTTATTAAACTACTGGTACTTTTTACAAAAAATGTTTTAAAGCCACAATTTGGTAAACAAGGAAAATGTGAGGCTCTGTCACAGAGAGAGACAAAGGAAGCCAGGGAGACGCGATGATGAAATGCAGCAAGGGACCCTGGATGGGATCCTGGAATAAATACAGAGGCCAGGAGGGGGCAACCAGAACACTCTTAAAAGGACTGAAAGGCTGCTGCATGTGGTGACGCACGCACGGCTGTAATCCCGGCACCTGGGAGCCTGAGGCAGGAGGACTGCCAAGAGCATGGGGCCGGCCTGACCTGAACAGCAGGGCACTGTCTCAAAATAAGCCAGCGACAACAAAGAAACCCCAAAGGGCCCCGTTAATAGTAATGTACGTGTCTCAGTTTTGCGATGATATGAGATGTTAACAGCACAGGATACTGGGTGTGGGGTATGTCTTTTTCTTTTTGCAACCTCTGTATTTATCTAAAACTATTACAAACTGAAAGCAATTTTTTTTCAAGAGCCCTGGTGTTTCAGGCCTTTGTCATACCTAGTGTGTCTCTGGGTTTAGGGGTATGGGGCGCAGTGGGGTGTTCCCAGCTCCACCAAACACAAACAATGCCTGGGAGGCAGCAGTGGGTGCTGTGTGGGTGGACACAGCGGAGTCCACTCCAGCTGTGAATGTGCACAGATGGGCTGGGGAGGAGCTTAGAAAAATGAACATTTATTCATTCATCAACCAATCCTAATACCCTGCTCTGGGCTATCCCATGGCCTGCACAGAGGTGAAGAGATACAGCTGGTCCTGAGACTCCCAGACAGTTGAAGATCCCAAATCTCAAGAACTGAGAGACAACCGGATGGGCCAGAGGGGCAACTGTGTTGGGGAGGCCTAGTGGATAGCAGCTTGCAGCTGGAGGTAGAGCAGGGGTCTGATGCCAACTGCCTGTGCTCACTGCAGCTTGAGCCCTGCGTGGACACCCAGCCCAGGACTTCATATCTTTGTGGTCATTTCTTCCCTGGTACTAAGCCAGGCGTGGTGATGCACGCCTGTAAAACCAGCACTCGGGATGCTGAGGCAGGAACTGCTGTGAGTTCGAGACCAGCCTGGGCTACAAAGTGAGCTCAAGGCCGGCCTGAACTGCACAGCGAGACCCTGTCTCAAGACAAAAAGAAAAAGACAGGCACTGAGAATCAATCAGCCCAGCCTCAAAACAGCCTGGGCAATGGCCTTGCCCCGGCAGAGACACCCACAGACATGGTGCCAAGGGGGCTGGCAGGAAGGGCTGTGACAGCCCATGAGCTCCAGCCAGCAGCCCCGGGGATGTGGAGTGCAGGGGTCTGGGAGACATCGGGAGTGCAGTCAGGGGCTGCAGGGCAAGGGATGGGCACCCCAGGAAATGAGGGACGAGGGATGCACAGTCAGATGCCTGGAGGTGGGCGGGCCTGGGCCCCATCTCAGCCTGGTGCCCTCCTAACCTACACACAGCTGCCCCTGCATGGGGTAAGCGGACCCCAACTCACAGCCCGGACCTGCCCCTCCCAAGGCCGGCCGCACTGGGGACTCACCGGGATGGGTCGATCACCTTGTAGACGACACCATGGGCTGCGGTGGCACTTGGCATGCCAGTGGACATGAAGTACAGCTCCCCTTCAAGGAGAGAGGTGACAGTGAGAAGGTGGTGGCACAGGGAGGCCCACCACCACCCTCGCCCTGACACTGACTGACCTCAGTATGCCCGGTCCCCAGACCGGACACTGGGGCTGGGAGAGCCAGCCACACAAGCCCCCGGCCTCCGCAGCCCACCCAGGTACTCCAACCTCTACGCCCACTGCTGACTGGTGGCCCCACTGGGACTCGAGCCCAGCACCATGCTCAGTCAGTGTTAGTACTCAGTCAGTACCAGTACTCGATCAGTACTAGTGCTCAGTTCCTACCAGTGATCATTCCTGTCAATACCTGGGGAAGGCCGAGGCAGACACTGTGGCTGGGGTGCCCACTTCCCTCTCCAAATGCTTTCTGGGTGCTGCCCACATGCTCCCCCACCTGCACCCTGGGACCCGGTACTGCCCTCCATCACCTTTAACTGTGCCCCGAGCCCAAGGCCCATCTGGTCACCAGGCGTGGACAGCTGCTGGTCCCAGCCCCCCAGGGGTGGCAGATAGCGCGGGAGCAGAGGCCTGCAGGACCTGCCTGGTGCCTGTAACCTGTGAGGGTGCCGACCCTGCTCAGGCCACCAGACCTGCCGGGCCACATGGCTCTCACGGTGTGGGTGGTCCCCGGAGGGCTGTGGCTGGTGGTGGGCCTTGGTGGGCAGCTTGCAGGTGTCAGAAGTGGAGGAGCAGAAGCCAGAGCAGGGAGCCGGAGCCCCTGTCTCCAGCTCCTCCAGGACCCTCCAATGCTGTCCTGGGCAGGCAACTCATGGGCACCAACAGCTGGGTCTGTATCACTCCGTGTCCCCCAGGGGACTGAGGAAGAGTCCTCCGCGATTCTCCCTCCTCCCAGGGCTGCATGTGGATGAGGACAGGGGGACCCCGCTTCTGGAACACGCTGTTCACCCTGCTGCCAACAGAACGGGCCATCGCTGGCCCAGGGGGTACAGACTCGGTGCGGGCAGGGCGGTGTCGGCTCCACAAAGGTTTCCCAGACTAGAGCTGGGGCCCCCAGGCACTGGGTCCTGTCAGGGACACCCCTCCAAAGGCCCCCCAGTGGGTGTTGCCTAGAAACCCCAACAAGCATCCAGCAGGGCCCGCTGGGGGCCGTGGGCTTTTGTTGGGGAACAATCCATGCACAAAAGCAGAGGCTGGCTGTGACCCTCTCTCCCCACCCCCCACCTACTCCTGCACTGCAAGCACAAGTGCCCGGATGTGGGCGCGCCCACAGGCAAGCACGCTGTGTCCCCCACTCTGAAATGACAGCGTGCTGGAGGAATGGCCCGGGTACTTTTGTCACCAGAGTGTAAGGCGAGCTGCAGGCCGGGCTTGTCTGAGGGCACAGCACACGTCCCTCCCTGGAGCAAAGGTCGCCCCAGGTGGGCTTGCTGGGCATCCTCTGGCAGTAAGGCGCCAGGCCAGGCAGCCCAGGTGGGAGGTCTCAGAAGCGCTCACCGGCCTCGTCCTCCGAGAAGGAGATGATGTGTGGGTAGTAGTTGTTGATGAGACCCGGGAAGGCGCAGGTGCGCCCGCGGCCCATGCAGACCTCACTGTACCGCCACTGGCCGGTCCCCAGGTCCTCGCGGAGGGACATGAGACGCCTGTAAAGGAAGAAGCGCTTCAAAGCCGTGCCCAGCCTCCACCCGTGCCGGGACCACTCCGCCTGCTCGCTGGCTCCAAGGGTTCAGTGATAAATGCGCATGCGCCCGTCCAGAAGTGCTTAAGGGATCCGGACACGGACGACCAATTGCGGACCGAGCCAGGTGTGGGCCCCTCGTGGCCGCGAGAGTTTCGTGTCCAGCAAACTGGCTGGCTGTGATCGCGGCAGACCTCTCACCCAAGAGACCCAGGGATGCACAAGACCAGCTTCGCCCCTGCCCTCTGCTCGGGCCCCCTGCGCTGTGAAGTGCTGACCTCTCTGCCAGGGCCCAGGAGGCCAGTGACTGGACTGTGTGCGGCCCTTGGTGCCATCTCCAGAGCAGGAGCCTGGACGTCCTGGGTCCTGCTCCTTCCTCTGCTTCTCAGGCCCTGCTCAGGCATCCACTCCACGAGGCCCTCCCAGACTGCACCTGCCAGGTTTTTGCACTGGGCACAGGCTCGAGGAGGCTGCACCACTGAGGGTCCAGCCTATGCGTCCCTGACTCAGACTCAGGTACTCTTCACCTCTGCTGCCCTGGATCAACCCTTGCTTGACCCAGCAGAGGAGCCTGGGAAATATAGGGGCAAAAGGTTGAATTTCTGCAGTCAGGGGACTTTGGTGTCCCTGGGGAAGGAGGATCAGAGTAAAAACAAAGGCTTCACTAGACCCATTTCACAGACAGGAACACTGAGCCCCAAGGAAAGACATCCTCAAGAGCTGGGAGATAGACACAGGATCCGGGAACCTAGGACTAAGTGCCGTCCCAGCTCCACAGCCTTGGAGAGTTACTAGGTACCAGGCTTCGCTCAGTTTTTTGTGGGGACAACATGGTCATGGGGCTCCACATGCTCCACTGAGCATGCAGCCTGATCCCGCAGGTGTGGGAGGTCTGCTGTCCTCCCTCCTCCCTCTAAAGCCTGCCAGGGGTGCGACCCATCCCCCACCTGGCCCTGCCTTAGAGCAATAATCAGGCCTGGACAGCAGCCTCTGACCTCAGATTGGCAACTGCCCTCTCTGGCCTCAGTTTCCCAACTTGCAAGGGACCTTGGGCCAAGGTCCTCTGGCTGGGCAGGTAGGCAGGGACAGGGTGGCCCAGGGGGTGGAGGAAGCTACTGGGGTCTGGCCTTGCTAATCATCGAGGAGCCTGGGGTGGGGGCTGACAGTCCCTGATGTCACTGATGCTGTTACGCAGATCAGGCCTGAAGCTGGAGGGTGGGGCAGGGCACTCCCCTGGGCCATACCAGGGGTCGGGGCTAGAGCAAGTGTGCACGTATGCACACACACAGACACACAGGCACACACACCGCTTCACCACAGGCCCAGGGAGCAGATGCTGCACCCTCTGGTGCTCAGGGCAACTTACCCACTCATGAAGTCCCCGAAAATGTAGAGGCCGTTCAGGTTGGGGTTCTCGCAGCCCCGGTACACATAGCCCCCTGTGACCGACTTGCCCAGCTTGTGCGGGTAAGCGAAAATGGGTAACACATCATCTGCAGTTCAGGAGAGAGGAAGGGGTGGCCAGTGGGGACGGGGTGGGGGGAGGGCAGGGGTCAGTTTTGGAAGTCGTGGGGAGTAGCCCAGCCCGCCTCAAAGCCTGTGGGTGGTCCCGGGACAGAAGAGGAGGCAGCAGGAGAGAGAGGGGCTCACAGAGCCCAGGTGGCAAAGCAGGGAGGGGCAGGGGACAGCGCTGGGAACCCTCGCTGGGCCCAGGTGCCTGCAGTGGAGGCAGGAGGGCGGAGGTGGGCGCTGGTGGACACCCGGCGAGGGGGCGGGGTTCCGGGGGGAGGGGTCCCGGGGCAGGGAGGAGACTGGGGTGGACAGGACGGGGCGGCCCAGGTCCGGCCCACGCGAGGACCTCACCGAGGGACGCGTTGGCGCACAGCTTGCGGTCGTAGCACTCGAAGCCCTCGCGCGCGCGCCAGCCGTAGTTCCGGCCGCGCTGCACCAGGTCCACCTCCTCGAACCTGTTCTGGCCCACGTCGCCGCAGAAGAGGCGGCCGCGGCCCGCGCCGGTGGAGGGGTCGCCGCGGTCGAAGGAGCAGCGCCACATGTTGCGCACGCCCAGCGCCCAGACCTCCGGGCGCGCGGCGGCGTCGCCCACGAACGGGTTGTCGGGCGGCACGCGGTAGGGCGGCCCGTGCGCGGGACGCTCCACGTCGATGCGCAGCACCTTGCCCAGCAGCGCCGACCTGCGGGCGGGCGGGCGGGCGGGAGCTGCCAGGGTGCCGGGCGACACCACGGCCGGCCCGGGTTAAGGACCGGGCCACTGAGCTCAGGAAAGGCCAGAGAGCTTTTACCTGCCTTGGGGTGCTGCAGCCAGCCCAGGCAGCGGGCCCCAGAACGCCAAACTGTGTGTGTGTGTCTGTCTCTGGTGGTACAGTACTGGGGTGGAACCCAGGACCTCTACATTGAGTTATATCCCCAACCCTCTTCTGATTCATTGTTATTTATCTCGTTGGGGTTTTTTATTATTTATCTATTTATTTTTTGGAGACAGGGTCTAGCTATGCAGTTCAGGCTGACCTTGAACTCACAGCATAGGCTGACCCCAAACTCTCAGCGAGGACCCTCCTGCCTCAGCGTCATAAATTGCTGGGATTACAGGTGCATGACGCCATGCCCTGCTTATTTGGTTTTCGGAGACAGGATTTTGCTATTGTAGTTCAGGCTGGCTTCAAACTCACGGCGATCTTCCTGCCTCAGCCTTCCTGATGCTAAGATTACATGTGCTGCCATGCCCAGCTCTCAGTTTTTTTTCTTGGAGACAGGGTCCTACGAAGTTGCCCAAGTTGGGCTAACCCCAGGCTCTTTGCCCCAGTGTTCTACACTGAAAGGCTCGCGGAGCCCCTCCAGCAGGGCCCGGGGTGATGGCTGATACCATGCACCTGTGTGTTCACTGCTTATTGACACTAGAGACCTCAAAGCGGCCTCATTCACGCTGATAAAACGCCCTTCACCCCAAGCGCAGCCCCGTGGTTTATCCCTTACCGCTGCCTCTGGCTTCCGAGGGTTCCTGTGCCACCCCTGTGCCACCAGGCTCACCCGGACTACAAGGACTCCTGGCCTGGCAGCAAAATAACATTTTACGCTTTGTCCAATTATCTACAAATCTTTAATTTGTTTTCCTGGCTTCATCTCCAGGCACACTACAAACAGAGAGGGCTGGGATGCCACTAGCCCTGTCACTTGGGCAGGCACGAGTCCCAAATTATCTATGCTTTAACGACTGATCTGCCTCACACTGGCTATTTTTACTTTTCTGGGCTGAGGGAGGTTGTGTCCTTTCAGTTGGAAGGGGCTGGTGAGAAACGCCTGTGTACGTTCACATGATTGTATACGTGCACGTGTGCCCGTGAGCATGCATGTGTGTGCACATGTGCCTTCATGAGGAGCCCTCTGAGTTCAGGCCGTTTGGTCAGGCTCGACTACGTCTGAGTCTTGGGGGTTCCCAGGCATAGAAATCCACTGGGGTGGGGGCCTCCCTCGGCTTCCCCCAGAGAGCCAGGCGGGCCTTAGAGAAAGCACCCTCTCCCTCCTTCCCAGCGCCTCTCCCTCACCACCGGCCCAGTCCCTTCCCTCCTCCTGCTGTCACCCCATGGAGCTAGAGTCCCCTCTGGGCAATGGCCCTGAGTGCCCCACCCAGGTGCCCTGCTGGCTGCAGGCTGAGTTGGGGCCCAAGCCTGTTCCATGCCCTGCGTGGCTCGGCTGAGCATGAGCTGCCATGAGTGTAAACCCACAGCACAGCAGCCCAAGCACACCTACTTGTTCTGAGCATTTCCGAACTTTCCGAAGGGGTCTCCGGCCATGCCACCATCCCCAGTGAAGATGTAGAGGAATCCATCATCCCCGAAGAGCAGCTGGCCTCCATTGTGGTTGGAGGCTGGCTCTTCGATCTCCAAGATTATCCTAGAGGAAGAAGCCAGTAAACACTGGGCCTCCTGCCCCATCACCGCAAGCGCCTTCTCTCTCTCTCTCTCTCTGTCTTATGTCATAAAAGAGCCTTCCCATAGACCTAGGAGGGAGGGCTGGGCAGGGCTCAGCTACCCCATGGTGCCCAGGACCACCTGCAGGCTCAGAGAGGTTAACTGACTTGCTGAAGGCTACACAGCCCAGAGGCAGCAGAGCTGGGACTGGAACTCATGTCCCACTCCTCTGACAAGAGCTGGGGCACAGATGCTCCCTCAGGAGAAGGCTCTGCAGGGCACTTCGGGGTGCATGCAGGTGGGTGCTATGGATGTGGCACAGAGGGACAGCTAGGGGCAGGAGGGTACGGTGGCTGTGGGCGAGCTCTGGAGGAAGCAGTTCCAGCGCCCAGGTTCCCTGCCCTGAGGCCTCTCTGAGCCTCCTGTGACCCACCCACCTCTGCACCCCAGAGCCCTGTTCTGGTCCTGACCTCCTTGTGCTTCCCAGAATCCAGTGAAAGGCAGCACTCGAGACCAGGAGCCGAGGCGTTGGCCTTGGTGGCCCTGAGCGCTGCAGACCGACCTGCCCCAGACCCGGGAGCGCAGGGGGCTCTCCTGAACAGCGTGGCCCTGGACTCCCGCCCCCGCCGGCCACGCGCCCGGAACCACCTCTCGGAGCTGTGGTCCACACTGTTCTCGTCGTCCTCGGAGACCCGGAACTCGCTGATGCGGATCCACTCGCGGGAGCGCGTTCCCACGGAGTAGTAGACGTAGAGCGTGCGCGCGCGGCGGAAGCGCGGGTGGAAGGCCAGGCCCAGGAAGCCGCGCTCGTCGCCCTCCCAGGGCGAGGTCAGCACGGCGCGGCTGATGTTCAGGAAGGGCCGCTCGAGGCGTGCGCGGTCGGCCAGGTAGACCCACACCAGCCCCAGCTGCTCGGCCACAAAGAAGCGGTGCGTGCCGTCGTTCGCGTGCACCATGGCCACCGGGTTGCGCAGCCCGTGCGCCACCTCCTCCAGGCACAGCTGCAGGCAGCCGCGCGCGTCGGCCACCACGCGGCCCAGGTTGGTGTTGAGCCGGGGGTTGACCAGCAGGCTCGGGAAGCAGTAGTCCTTGTCGTCCAGGGCCAGGTAGCGGCAGAGCTTGGTGCGGTCGCCTTCCAGCGCCCGGAGCTCCGGGTCGGCCGACAGGTGGCGGAGGAGGCCGCGGCACGAGCGCCACAGGTCCAGGCAGTAGTCCTGGCACAGGCCAGGCAGCGTGCGCAGGGGCGTGGCCGGGTCCTCGGCGTCGTAGAGGTGGGCGGCATAGGGCGAGCACTCCTGCGGGGACAGGGCCCATGAGGGCTCCAGGACACGCGGGAAGACACCCACCCCTGGGAGGCCTTGGGCCGCTTCCCCAGGCCCAGCCTGCCGTCCTCGGAATGCACAGTGGGGCACCTGTACCCTGCCGGACGCCTCGAGTCCAGGAGCCTCCTTCGGTCCTGTATACTCTCCGCACTCTGATCCCCGGGCTTTGGTACCGAGCTGCATCCCCAGCCCTTTTTTCGTTTCTTTTCTTTCCTTTTGGTACCGGGGATTGAACTCACGACCTTGCACTTAGCTGGCAAGCGATTGAGCCGCTGAGCTAAATCCCCAGCCCTTCTTAGCGTCTCGCTAAGTCACTAAGTTACTCAAGGTGGTGCTCAAACTTGCAATCCTCCTGCCTCAGCCTCCCACAGTGCTGGGATTGCAGCAACTAGGACCAGCTCCTCTCCCTGTTCTTCGTACTGTGTCTTAATTCTTCTGTTTGAACCAATAACCAACAGGGCAGGGCAGCACACACTTGTGCTCAAGGAGCCTCACATTGGAGCACACTCTGGGCAAATTAGCAAGAAAGACCCTGTCTCAAAATGTCAAACAACTTTTAAGGCGGGCAGGGGGTGTAGCTCGGTACAGAGGTTCCGGTTTAATGAAAGTTTCACCCGGTCTGACCTCATGATACATGAGAGTCGAGGGTTCATCGCTGGCCCTTCCTCAGAACGATCTGCTTTGTCTTGTTCACTGCCATTTGCTAGAGCCCAGCGCACAGCAGGCCTGCAGGGAGCACAGGCGAGAAGCTGAGCAACTCACCAGGCCGCTGGTTCAGCTGGGTTCACTGGCAACAAAGGCTTCGTTCTCTATCATTTACTCAACATTCACTAAATTTCCACAAAGGAGAAACTGAGGCTCAAGCCTCCCCCCCCCACCCCCGTGGTACTATTCAGCGCCTCTATCAGGCTAATAACTTGAGAAGAAACCTCTTTTTCTTGGTACAAGGTTGACCTGGAACTTGCGATGCTCCTGCCTCAGCCTCCCGAGCAGCAGGGATCCCAGTGTGTGCCTCCTCGCTCTGCTCAGAGAAGACTTGAGCCCAACCTCAGGACAGCCCAGAGCTCTTCAGCTCTATAGTCACCGGTGTGTGCCTCCCTGTGACCCCAGGCCCACAGGTCCCCTTCCTACTCCCCTCCTAGGCAGGACCCTGGTCCCTCCTGAGTATCGAGGCTAGCACTGTCTCCTAGGAGACAGAAGCATTCAAGCTCGAGGGTACCTCTGCCTGCTCCTGGAGGGCAGCCCTGCGCCACACCCTCTGGGCCCCAGGAATCTCCTCCCGCCTCAGGGGTTCATTGCCCTGATAAGGGAAAAGCTCTGAGTTCCGTTTCTGGAACCCAGGCAGATTCGGCCAGCACTGGGCTCCTCAAAGTAGAGCTGCCAGCAGCCGGCTCCGCCCTGCCTCAGCTTCTGGGGTGCGCTGCAGTCACAGTGCTGGAAGGGGGGGGGGGCTGGTGTTCCCTGAGAAGTGTTCCCTCCGCTCCTTTCTGGCAGACAGAATCCTTGTTAGCCTTAAATAATGATGAAAAAGCCCTGACAAGTAATAAGAGCGCTGGGCGGAGCGGGTCACGCCTGTCCTCCCAGCACTCTGGGAAGCTGAAGCAGGAGGATCGCAGGTTTAAACCCAGCCTGGGCAACTTAGGGAGACTCTGTCTCCAAAAATGAAAAGAGCTGGGGGTGAGGCCAGAGCAGAGGCCCTGGATTCAGTCCCCAGTACTTCGAGAGGAAAGCACAGGAATGAATGAGGAGAAAATGTTTTCTCCTGCCCGGCACCTCCCGGATTTGAGGGGCCTCTGCGCTGGTGGCTCTGCACATGCACATGTGAAAAGCAGCCCCGTGTCTGTGTCCAGGCGTGGAGGCTGAGCCTGCACCAGCAAGGGCCACCCCACTCAGCTCCGGGGTGTCTTTGCACGCAGGTGACACACGCCACAGGCCTAGGCTCCAAGAGGCGGCCTCGTTAGTGGGCTCAGGTGGAGGCCCAGGGAGGGGCCTCCCATGCTCCCAAGGCAGATGCGCTGCCCCGATGCCCTCGCAGGCAGAGACCGGCCACTGGCCTCCTCTGCCAACTTCCCGGAGGTGGTAATTGAGAGGCGCTGACTCCAGCCCTGGGCTCGCCTGCCCCAGCGTAGTGTCCCTGCCAGCCCTGGTCATCAGGCCCCGCCTGGCCACGCCTCGAAGCCGACTCCAGACATGAGGTCACCCCCAGAGCTGCGGCTAGAGGTGCTTGTGGCCGGGCTGTCCTGAAAGGTTCCCAAGGAAAGAGGAATCCGCGCCAGCAGACCGCAGCCTGGCTGACCTCCTTCCTCTGCCTGGACTGGCCTGCCTCATCCTCCCAGCTGGGCTGGCACGGACTATGCGCTCAATAACCTAATGTGGGCGGGATTCATGCATCCTGCGCTGTAAATTCGGGTGGAGAAAACCAAAGCACCTTGTCCCAAGGAGCCCTGGGCTTGGGGCAAAGCCAGGGACTGGCCAGACCCTGTAGTTCCTCGGGGGTGCAGGGGTGTCCACAGAGTCCATCAGGAGGAGCAGCCTGCCTTTGGGAACGTCCTGGAAGTTTCCATGGCCCTCTCCTGATCCTCCCTGCATCTGTCGGTCTGGGTGTTTTCTGAGGCAGTCTCCCTATGTAGCCCAGGTTGGCCTCAAACTTCTGGTGATCGTCCTGCCTCGGCCTCCTGAGTGCTGGGATTACAGCCAACTGCCACCACGGCCTGCCTGTCCTCGTTTTATAGATGACCGTAACTGGAGCAGCAGTGACAGCCCCAGGTCACCAATAGGAGGTAGCAGACCCAGAATGGAGCCCAGACTTCTCACTCAAACCGGCGCCTCGCCTCTCGCCTGCCCCCTATTGGCCGTAGCTGGGACTGCGCTGCCCTGGGCCCCACCTAGATCTCTGCCTCGCCAGCTACTGCGGGCTCGCCTCGCGCCCTGGGCGTCAGCCTGCACAGCTGGCAAAGAAACAGCTCTGGTCATTTCGGGGGCGCGAGTCGGTGCCACCATGGGAGGCCTGAGAGGGCGGGAGGAGAGGTCACCGAGGGCCTGATGGGAGCCCCGGGATCCGAGGATGGGTGCGTGGCAGGGTCGGGGCTCTCAGATTGCCATGGCACCGGTGGGGTGGGGCCTGTTTGGGATGTGGTCCCTACGTGTTCCCCCAAATCACGCCTAGAGCTTTGAGCTTTTGCTGTACCACGCAGGAGGCTGAAGCAGGATGATCACTGCGGTTCTGGGCAGTGCAGGACCACAAGGAAAACCTCTTACCGCCCGGTTCCAGCAACGCTGGGGGCGACTGCAGGGTGTCCCCGGCCAGGAGGACCCCCAGACTCTGAAAGGGTGACGGCCCCGTCTGTGTTCCCCTCTTGAAACCGGGAGAAGGTCCAAGTCAGGAAGTTAAAGGGGACCAAGCCTAACAGCACCTGAGGGTGCCCGGCGCCCCCGCCCTCCCGAGCCCGGGCCGCGCCGGGTCCCCAGCCCGGCCCGATCGCGCGCGCCCTCACCTGGCACAGCAGGTCCAGCGCGTAGCCGGCGCACGCGGCCCACAGCGCGGCGTCCACGCGGGCCGCCAGGGCCCCGAAGCGCCGGGCCAGCGCCGCGTCCTGCTCGGGCGCGCAGCAGCCGAAGGCCGAGTACTGCTCGCAGAGGCGCAGCGGGCCCGGCGGCCGGAAGGGCGGCCTGAAGTCCAGGCACTGCGGGTGCGCGGCGGCCAGCAGTGCGCGCAGGGCCAGCAGCGCCCCGGCCCGCCGCCCCGCCATCCCGGCCCCGCGTCCAGCCAGGTCCCCGCCTCCCTCCTCCTCCCGCGGGCGGGGAAGGGGCGGGCCGCCCAGGCCTCACGATGGGGACCTCCCTGCTCCCGGCCACCGCTGGCCGGCCACACGCACCCGTCCCTCTGGCCCCGCGCCTCTCCAAACCCAGCGCGGCCCCCGGGGCCCTTGGAGACCCCCGGGCAGGGTGCGGTGCAGGCCGCCCCGGCCTCGGTCTCCTCCCACCCGAGGCACTGGTAGCCAGGAAGGCATCAGAGCCACTGCTACCGTGGCCTGCACCCCTGGCTTCCTGCTCCGGACCCCAGGAGGAAGGAAGAGCCAAGGATCAAGGATTTCAGGGAGCTACTCAAATGGGGGCGTGGCCGGCCTTGGGGTTGCCGGCCTGTAATCCCAGCATTGGGGAGGCTGAGGCAGGAGGCTCACAAATTCAAGGCCCACCTGGGGGGTACATGGTGAGACCCTGTCTCAAAAATAAACCAAAAATGTGGGTGTGGTATAAAAGGCAGGTGTTACTGGGCCTTAAAGAAAGTGAAACCCCAACCTGGGGGAGGGAGGGAAGGTGTGGCAGGACCCCCCCAGCCCACCTGGGGCTCCCATCCTGGCTCTCTCTGTCCATCTACTCCACCAGGGGCCTGGCAGGTCTCCTCGTATGAGTACCTGGTTCTCCACCTGTGCACACCTGCACTGCGTCATCCCCCCAGACCAATGGTGGCCACATAGGAAGCCCCTGGTGCTCTCCCAGGTGAACCCCAGCAATCACCCCTCCCTTCAGTGCTTCCTGCTATCTGCATCCTGAAAACTTCTACTTGCTCTTCTTGGCCCCAACTCCCATGCCCCTCCTCTGCAGGTCTCTTTGGGCTGTCCTGGGGGACTGGGTCTGAGTCTTTGGGCCAGAGGCCTGGTGGGGCTGGGGTGGATTAGATGAGGCAGACAATCACACACACACACACACACACACACACACACACACACACACACACACATAACACATACACACAGGCCCAGACATTCGTGCAGTCAGGGGACAGCTTCTTGGTGTCACACTGTCCCCACCCTCTCATAGGGACCTCCTTGTCTCTTAGCTTCACATGTGGATGCCAGCTGTCCATCTGGGGCCTGCTCAGGCTGTGCCAGGCTTCCTGGCTCAGGGGAGGCGGCGCTGGGGTCATGGAGGGGAGGCTGGGGACTGTGAGAGCCTTGACCAGGCCCCTGCAGGGATACAGTAACTGCAAGAGCTGAGATGCAGTCTGCAGGGGCTGGTGTGTGGGGTGGCTTCTGGGAAGCCCACCAGGCTCTCACAGGGAAGAGACACGAAGGCCCCTCGGGGAGGGAGGGAGGACAGGACAAGGTCCCATTGGGAAGCTCTGAGTGCCCGAAGGAGGCCTGTGCTGGGAAAAAATCCCCTGGGCCTTGTCCAGGGTGGGAAGGTGCCACCTGCTGTGGCTGCCACCTAAGGGGTAGGAGCTAAGAGCCGATGGGGGCACTGCCCAGAGACATGGATTGATTGATGACTGATGGTTGATTGATTTTTTTGAGACAGGATCTCTCCATGTGGCCCCAACTAGACTGCAATTCACAGGGATCCTCCTGTCTCAGCCTCCCAGTGTGCTGGGAGGCCTTGAAATGGGGACCTCCCCATGACTACCACCATTTGGGGATCACAGGAACACGGGTTTCAGCTGTGCGTATCACAGCCACACTCCAGGACCCACCCCCTGCGGAATTCTTAGGGGTCTTGGACAGGAAGGGGACAGGACAGGGACACTTGGGCACGCAAAGCTTCTCAAGCTGTGGCTGCAGCCAGCATTAGACGCCCCTGCCCACAGCCAGACCCACATAACCCTCACCGCGACGCCCGCCCACATCCCTGGTCCAGCGCTGTCACAGCGCTGCAGCGCAGAGGGCATCATGGGATGAGACAGAGGGACAGGACGCAGACAAGGTGAGGACCAGTGCCACAGGGCCGGGCAGCGGATTGGAAATGACCGCGGCTGGCACGACAGGACCCTGGTGCTAAGGACTGAGCCGACCAGTGGCAGGAGCCAAGAGGAGCCTCAAGAAGTAAACACGAGAAGGGTCAGCACGTGGGCATGCGCCTGCAGCCCCAGCAGCCCAGGAGGCAGGGCAGGAGGGTCCCCGGCTCAAGCCCAGCCTGCACAGCTTAGGGACTTCGTGAGACCCCGTCTCAACATAAAATGGGAGAAAACGGCTGGCCGGTGGTCAGTGTGAGGCCCTGGGTCCAATCCTAGAACCAGAAAATAGAAGCAGGGCTTGATGGTAGAGCACGTGCTGGCCTACACAAAGCCCGCACAGCAGAAAGGAAAGGGAAAGAAAATTGAAAGTATACCAGGAGTCAGAAGCAGTGTAACCAAAACAAAAAGCGCTCGGTAAGCTCACAGGAATCTGAGCTTGTTTTGTTTCGTTTCTTGAGACGGTCTCGTGATGCAGTTTTGAACTACGTAACGCAGGCTGGCCCCGAGTTTACAGAGATCCTCCTGCCTCGGCCTCCTGAGTGTTGAGGTGAGCGTGTGCCAGCACACCCACCTTGTGCACTGCTGAGGGCAAAAGAAACGGTGAGCCTGAAGCAGGGCGCAGGCGCTTTCCAAACTGCGCGAGAAGAAAAAGTTAGAAAACAAGCAACACAGCCAAGAAGCGGGGCCGTTTGGAAAGTTTAACATTTAAATTTGGAAAACCGGTAAGAGAAAAAGACCAAGAAAAGGTGGAGGGGAAATCCGAAGTAAAAACAGCCAAGCATGTCTACAGCTGATGGCAGAAACCAAACAACAGGTCCAGAGACAGAAAAGAGCAAAAGCAGGATACAAAAGCCAGAAATCTACACATAGGCAAATCGTACTCAAACTGTGGAATCCGAAACACAAGGAGAAATGCTGAAAGAAATTTGTCTAACAGCACTCCAGAAGCTGAGGCAGGAGGATCCACAAGAGGTCACGGTGAGCCTGGGCCATGTGGTGAGACCTTGCCTCAGGAAGAAAGAAGGAAAGAAAGAAAGAAAGAAAGAAAGAAAGAAAGAAAGAAAGAAAGAGAGAGAGAGAGAAAGAAATTTGTATCTAAATTAAATGTGACTATTGCTTTTTAAAAAAAGAGAGTCAGAAATCCTGAAAGAAACCAAAACTCTCTTTTGAAACCAGGAGCGATGAGACAGAAGTGAGTTGGGGAGACCCACCAGCTTGCAAACCTCTGTTGGCCAAAGGGACACAAAGGCTTCCCCCAAAACCCTAGAGCTGGAGGGATGCATCCCCGGCAGACAGGGAAACCCCCTGAGGTAAAACACGTTCTTCAAGTCAGGGCACACCTGTCATCCTAGCTACCAGTAGGCTGAGCCAGGAGGGTCACGAGCTAGAGGCCCGGCTGAGCCTCCCAGTAAGAGGAGGCTGGGGAGCAGCTCAGTGGCAGAGCACTCGCCGAGTCCACCCAAGACCGCAGGAGTGACCTCCACACCACACCTCCGCCACAGTCAAAAGACAAAAAAAGCTTGGAAGAAGTTCAAGCCATTCCTCTGGTACCTGTTTTGTTTTAAAAATCTTCTAGTATCTATGCTAATTTGCTTCCTCTCCACCACAGTTTCTCTTGGTTCACTGAGAATAATGTGCTGTTACCTGTTTGGGGTTTTAGGAGCCGCTCTGTCTACGGCTTGTATTCTGAGGAAGCTTTGGGCCAGCCTTTCAAAATTATGAAATGTGGTGTAATCCCAGCACTCAGGAGGCTGAGGCAGGAGGATCGATGCAAGTTCCAGGCCAGCTTGGGCTACAAAGTGAGTTCAAGGCTAGCCTGAACGGCATAGCAAAACCCTGTCTCACAAAGACAATCAATCAATCAATAAATGACAAAACATTATGATACACAATGCATTAGCAATTGTTATTGTCTGGTTATTCTGTTATGAAACTTTGGTGTTTTTTCATAGATATAAGAAAAGTGCTTTTAAAATATATTTTCTTTATTAACCTCTCTTTGTATTGTGTTTCCATTTAAAAAGGGTTGGGGCTGATCATCAGAGAAACACACATTAAAATAGCACCAGGCCCTCCCTGAAGACCTGAGTGCTACCAGGGATCAAACTCACAACCACCTGCTTGCAAGGCAGGAGCTTATGCCGCTAAGCTAAATCCCCAGCCCCTAAGAGGGCTCTTTTTAAAGCCTGTCTTTTAAATTTTACTTGTGCGTTGGCCTCTGAGACAGGGTCTCACCATGTGGTCCAGGCTGCCCTTGAATTCACTGTATATAGCCCAGACTGGCTGGACCTTGTGGCAATCCTCCTGCCTCAGCCTCCCAAGGGCTGGGGTTACAGGCTGGGCCACCAGGCCAGGCCCTATTTTTAATTTTAAACTTACTGAGAGAAAGCTTGGAGCTGGGACACAGGCAGGTGGTGTTCAAAGCCCCCATGCTGTGCGGGCTTTTGCCTGTGTCATCTCTGGCAGCCTCATGCTGGCCCAAAGATATAGGGGGTGCGGCCGTACGGGTGGAGTGGACCAGGTGGACCAGAAGACGGCTCTCCCCAATGCACCCCCACCCCACCCCTCCTGGCCCTGGCCCCTGCCCCTACACAGTGCCCCTGGAGGCCCCCGCATGGTTGCACCCTCTGAAGCCCAGGCCCCCTTGGTCCTCCACACTCGCGGTGCCAGGCTCTGGGGTCACGCACGCCTTGGTGTCCCCAGGGTGCCCCCAGCAGGTGCCCCAGCTGCTCCTGGGATTCAGAGGTGAGCGTGGCAGGTCCATCCCAGGCCTTCCCCGCTGCTGGCTCCCCAGCTCTGGTCCCTTCTGTGTTCCTTGTCCCTGGGAGGCTCCTCGGTCCCTGTGACCCCAGCAGGGTGAGGCTGAAGCAGGAGGGTCACTGTGAGTTCCAGGCCAGCCTGGGCTATATAGCGAGACCCTGGCTCGAAAATCAAAACAGGAGACTGGGGATGTAACTCATGGCACAAGTGCCTGCCTGGCAAGTGCAAGGTCCTGAGTTCAATTCCCACTACCAAAATAATAGTAATCATAATAAATACAATAAATCCACTGCATGT